TGGTGTCCCCACCCCACCCCATCCCAGTTCCCACTGGTGTCCTGATCCTGCTCCATCCCAGTTCCCACTGGTGTCCCCACCCCATCCCATCCCATCCCAGTTCCCACTGGTGTCTCCACCCCATCCCATCCCACCCCATCCCATCCCAGTTCCCACTGGAGTCCCCACCCCATCCCATCCCAGTTCCCACCAGTACAACCGGGAAAGGCCCAGTTTGCACCGGTGTCCTGACCCTGCCGGGTTTATGGCTGGGGTTGGGTTTAGGACTGGGATTTGTCAGGGTTGGGGCTGGGATCAGGGTCACGTTTAGGGTCGGGGTTGGGGTTAGGGGCTGGTTTAGGGTTAAGGTCAGGTTCGGGTTTAGAGCTGGGATTAGGGTCAGGTTTAGGTCTGGTTTTAGGGTCAGGATTTGGGCTGGGATCAGAGTCAGGTTTAGGGTTTGGGTAATTACTGTGATTAAGGTCAAATTTCAGGTTGGGATTAGGACCGGGGTTAGGGTTAGGGTCCCGGTTAGGCCGGGGATTCGGCTCTAAATTAGTGTCTAGCTAGGGCGTGGTCACGCTAATTACAGACATCTCTGATCAGATGAACAGGGCGGGGTCTATGTAAATTTTGGGGCGGGGTTATGCTAATGAGGCGCCGGCCACGACGAAATAATCGCGCGGGCGAATGAGGGGGGCGGAGCGAATGCAAATCGAAGAGCGCAGGCGGCCAATCAGCTCGCGGTGCTGGGAGCGCTGGGCGGGGTCTGTAGAGCGGGGCGTGAGGCGTGGTTATGCAAATTAGACATCAAAGGGGGACAGAAAGGAATTGTGGGAGCGTTATTTTGGGGGACTTTCGAGGGTTTTGGGGGTCGGGGCGAGCGGAGAGCGGGTAGAAGGTGCGGGATGAGCGCGGCGGGAGTGCGGGCGGGGACGGGCAAGGTCGGGAGGGCCGCGCGGGGGTGCCCGTGAGGTGCGTGAGGGGCGGTGAGGGCCCGGTCGGGGGTGTGTGGGGTGTGAGTTTATCGCTTCTCGGCCTTTTGGCTAAGATCAAGTGTAGTATCTGTTCTTATCAGTTTAATATCTGATACGTCCTCGATGAGAGGACTTTATATTAAACGGATTTTTGGGCGCGGGAGTTGGACCCGGAGCTTGCTCCCTCCGCTCCGCGCATCGTCCCGGTATTGCAGTGCCTCCGGGAACGGTGCACCCCCGTCGGGGGACCTTTCACTGGTTAAAAACAGACTTAAAACTTAAAAAGCACATTTAACCCCGTTATTATCTCAGTGTTCTTCCCGTTTCTCTCCCGACCTGTCTCGGGATCCCCCCCGAGGTCCCGCTGAGGCGCCGCCTCCGCTCGGGCCCTTTCCCACCGCCCCCCCCACTCCCCTCACGGAGGCGCCGCCATTTTGCGCCGCGCTCGTTCCGCAGCCCCGATCGGACTCGGTCGGTTCGTCGCTTTCCCGCCTCGATTTTGTGCCCGGCGGGGGAAAAAAAAAAATACTGACCGTCGTTCGTCCGAAAAGGTGGGGGGAGTGGAAGTGGTGGAATTTTTTATTCACCCGATCTGGGAGGGGAGAGCGAGGCGAGGGGCGCGGAGGGGCGCGCGCGTTTCCTCAGGGAAACGAGTCCCTGTGGCCCCCTCAGCGCCCCTTCCTCGCCCAAACCCAGTTTAACCCCATTGTGCCACCGGGAACGGTGCACCCCCACCCGGGGTACCTTTCACTGGTTAAAAACAGACTAAAAACTTACAAACTATGGTTTTACCACGTTATTGTCTCCGGGTTCTTCCCGTTTCTCTCCCGACCCGTCTCGGGGTACCCCCCGAGGTCCCGCTGAGGCGCCGCCCCCCCCACTCCCCTCACGGGGGCGCCGCAAAATGGCGGCGCCTTCGCCGCGCTCGTTCCGCAGCCTCGGCGGGTTCACCGAGCGGTGCCAGCACAGGGGGGAGGACACGGCGCTCCATCGTTAACAAACTGTTTATTTCCCGCGAGAGGGTCCAGTACAAAATCGGGGGGGTGGAAAGGAGGGAGGGGAAAAGGGCAGCGGCCCCTTTAAGTGGAGCTGGTGGGCGGGGCCTCTAAAGGGGGCGGGGTCCAGATGGGCGTTAGTAGTGGGCGGGGCACTCGTGAGTGACAGCGGGGAGGGCGGGGCTTCGCGCAAGAGGGGGGCCAGCCCCCAGGAGGCTACTGATTGGAGAAGAGCCAGAAAGGGGCGGGCCCAGGGTAGCCATGAGGGGCGGGGCCTCCGGCAGGGGCGGGGCCTTCAAAGGACCACACCCAGGTGGGGCCCGACGCCAGCGCCTTAAATGGGCCACACCACGGGGGACTTCCCCCCCCCCCCCTTAAAGGGGCCACACCCACCCAGGTCCTTTAAGGTGGGGGGGGGGGGGTCACACACGGGGCACCTTAAAAGGGTAACACAGTGGCAGCAGCTTAAAGGGCCGATGCCGTCGTTAAAAAAAAAAAACGTTTGCCCGTTTTAAGAGCCTTAAAACGGCACCCGGTGGGGCCCCACCTGAGACAGCATCCGCACCTCGCAGGGGCCTCAGGGGGGGCCCGGGGGGGGGTCCTTCAAAGGGCCGCGTGGTGGGGGGGGGTCCCTACAAGGGCTCCGCCCGAGGGTCCTTCCAGGGGGGTGCTCAGGACTCGTCCTCCATGCTGAGGCTGCTGCGGGGACTGGAGGCACGGGAGGGCCCGGGGGAGGCCAGGAGGGCGCCCGGGGGGCCGAGAGGTGACAGCCCCCCCCCGTCGTCCATCAGGATGTCATCCAGGCTCCCCTCGGGCCCCCCCAGGTCCAGGGGCAGGCTCAGCTCCGAGGGCAGCTCGTCGGCCACCGCCAGGTCCAGGAGGCACTGGGGAGTGGAGGGGGGGCCCGGGGGGAAGGGGGGGCCTCCGGAGGCTTCCTCGCAGCCCCCCTCGGCCATGGGAGCCCCGGGGGGGATCAGGGGCAGCCCGTGAACCTGCGCCTGCAGCTCCAGCTCCTGGGGGACGTGGGAGCTCAGCAAACACCCCCCCCGATTCCACAGATCCCCCCAGATCCCAACACCTCCGTTCCCCAGATTCTGCTCCCCCTGACCCCACGAGCACCTTCCTCCGGACAACCCCAGAACGGCCCCACGGCCCCCCCCGCAGTCCCCCACTTTTACCCAGCCCTAAAACCCCCCAGTCTGGACCCACAACTCCTCCAACCCAGCCCCGGGGAGCCTCCCAGCTCCTCTCCAGCCCCTCAGGTCCCTCATCCCACACCTCCCAGCCCCATAAAGAACCTCCCCAGCCCCTCAGGGCCCTCATCCCACACCTTCCAGCCCCATAAACGACCTCTCAGGTCCCTCAGGTCCCTCATCCCACACCTCCCAGCCCCATAAACAACATTTCCAGCCCCTCAGGTCCCTCATCCCACACGTCCCAGCCCCATAAACGACCTCCCCAGTCCCTCAAGTCCCTCATCCCACACCTCCCAGCCCCATAAACGACCTCCCCAGCCCCTCAAGTCCCTCATCCCACACCTCCCAGCCCCACAAACGACCTCCCCAGCCCCTCATGGCCCCCCCCGAGGCCCCCCCAGACCTGCACACGGAGCTGGAGGCTGCGGTTCGCCTGCTCCAGGCGCTGCTGGTGCAGCTCCAGCTCCCGGGAGCGCTGGGTCTCCTTCTGCAGCTTCCTGATGTAATCCACCGAGGCCTTCAGGATCGTGCCCTTGTTCCACCGCATCTCCCTGCGGGCATTGGGGGGCCTGGGGACCGCTGGCACCCACCCGGGGGGGCCTGGATGCCCAGGGGGCCCTCCCAGGACCCACCCCTGGATGTCGGGGGCCCTCCCAGGGGTTTCTCTCAGGACCCACCCTTGGTGTCCCTGGATGTTGGGGTCCCTCCCACGGTTTCTCCCAGGATCCATCCTGGTGTCCCTGGATGTTGGGGTCCCTCCCAGGACCCACCCTGGGGGTCCCCTGGATAATGGGGTCCCTCCCAAGCCCTGCCCTGGGGGGGCCTGGATGCCGGGGCCCTCCTAGGACCCATCTCCGGATGTCAGGGGCCCTCCCAGGGTCCCTCCCAGGGCCCATCCTGGGGGTCCCTGGGTGGTGGGGTCCCTCCAAGTGTCCCTCCTGGGGGTCCCTGGATGTTGGGGTCCCTCCCAGGCCCCACCCTGGGGGTCCCTGGGTGATGGAGTCCCTCCCATGACTCCTCTTGGGGGTCCCTGGATGATGGGGTCCCTCCCAGGTTCCCTCCTGGGGGTCCCTGGTTGATGGAGCTCCTCCCAGGTTTTCTCCCAGGACCCACCCTGGGGGTCCCTGGATGGTGGGGTCCCTTCCAGGGCCCATCCTGGTGGTCCCTGGATAATGGGGTCCCTCCCAGGATCCCTCCTGGGGGTCCCTGGATGGTGGGGTCCCTCCCAGGCCCTGCCCTGGAGATCCTTGGATGATGGGGTCCCTCCCAGGACCCACCCTGGGGGTCCCCTGGATAATGGGGTTCCTCCCAAGCCCTGCCCTGGGGGGGCCTGGATGCCGGGGCCCTCCTAGGACCCATCTCTGGATGTCAGGGGCCCTCCCAGGGTCCCTCCCAGGGCCCATCCTGGGGGTCCCTGGATGGCGGGGTCCCTCCGAGTGTCCCTCCTGGGGGTCCTTGGATGACGGGGTCCCTCCCAGGATTTCTCCTAGGATCCATCCTGGGGGCCCCTGGATAATGGGGTTCCTCCCAGGGTCCCTCCTGGGGGTCCCTGGTTGATGGGGTCCCTCCCAGGGTTTCTCCCATTATCCATTCTGGGGGTCCCTGGATGTTGGGGTCTCTCCCAGGATCCCTCTTGGTGGTCCCTGGATGTTGGGGTCCCTCCCAAGCCCTGCCCTGGGGGTCCCTGGATAATGGGGTCCCTCCCAGGACTCCACTCTGGGGGTCCCTGGATGATGGGGTCCCTCCCAGGCCCTGCCCTGGGGGTCCCTGGTTTTCTCCCAAGATCCAACCACAGGGGTCCCTGGATGATGGGGTCCCTCCCAGGATTCTTCCTGGTGGTCCCTGGATGATGGGGTCCCTCCCAGGATCCACTCTGGACATCCCTGGATAATGGGGTCGCTGCCAGGCCCCCCCCGGGGGTCCCTGGATGATGGGGTCCCTCCCAGACCCCCCCCTGGGGGTCCCTGGATGATGGGGTCCCTGCCAGGCCCCCCCCGGGGGTCCCAGCACCCACCCAGCCGCCGGGGTGCCCCGGGGAGCGGGTCCCCCACTCACGGGTCGTTGGATTTGGGGATGAGGGTCCCCAGTTCCTTGATCCGGTCGTTGATGTTGAAGCGCCGGCGTCGCTCGACTGCAGGGGAAGGGGGGGGGACGACACGGGTCAGACCCCCCTGGTGACCCCCCCCTGAGCCCCCCCGGGGTCCCCCCCGAGCTCACTCAGGTTGTGGTTGTCCTTCTTCTGCCGCTCCTTCAGCAGCGCCTTCGCCTCCGTTTCTGGGGGTGAGGGGGGACAATCAACGACCCCCACGGAGAGAGACCCCCCCCCAGCCTCTCCCTCCCACCCGACTGTGACTCCGTTGAGCATTGGGTCTCCCCAGGGACCCCCCAAACTCTGCCCCACAGCTCCCCCCCTCCCCCAGGAACCTCCCCCACCCCACTGAACCCCCCCGGCCCCTTTTAACCCCCTCAGAGCCTCCCCAAGGACCCCATCACGCCCCACCCCCAAATCTTTTTGGGTTCCTTCCCCTCCCACCCTTTGATCCTCCCTGCCCATTGGGACTCCCCAGGGATCCCCCCCAAACTCTGCCCCACAGCTGCTCGCCTCCCCCAGGAACCTCCCCCACCCCACTGAACCCCCCCAGGCCCCTTTTAACCCCCTCAGAGCCTCCCCAAGGACCCCATCACACCCCACCCCCAAATCTTTTCGGGCTCCTTCCCATCCCCACAAAGACTCTTCTAAACGTTTCCTGCCCCCCAGCCCTACCCGGGACCCCCCCAGACTCAGTTAGGACCCCTCCCCACCATAACGACTCCCCCAGGCCCCTCCCAGTCCCTTCAGACCCCCCCCGGCCCCCCCCCCAGGCCCCAAAAGGAGCCCCCCCCGTACCTGAGAGCTCGGCCTTGACCCGGGGCAGCTCGGCCGGGCAGGAGCTGCTGCCGCCCTGGGGGGGGCTGAAAACCTCCAGGAGGGGGCCGGGGGCGGGCAGCTGAGGGGCAGGGGCGGGGTCACTCGGGCCACGCCCACCCCGGCCACACCCACCCACCTCCACCCACCCCCTCAGGTGTGGCCGGCTCCCCCCGGGGTGGGGCCGGGTGGGGGTGAACAGGCCCCACCCGGGTGTGGTGAGGCCACGCCCACAACGGGCTCCGCCTGGTTTGGCCACGCCCTGTTTGGCAAGCCCCGCCCTCCCTCACCCAAATAAGGACAAGCCACACCCTCTTTTAGGCCACACCCACCCACATGCCAACAGAGCCCCACCCCTGCCCTATATGGGCCAGAGCCACGCCCCCATGTCTTCAGTGGGTGGGGCTACACCAAGCCCCACCCCCAGCTGAGCTACCCTGCCCCACAGTTACAGCCAATAAGGAGTGGTGGGCGGGGTTTTGTGCATGCCACACCCCTTCAGGAGCAAAAGGGGTGTGGTTCATTAGTCCCCGCCTCCAGATAACCAAAGGGGCGTGGTTTGCTGCCTCATCACAAAACGGGGTGTGGCTTGCTCGTCCCCACCCCCAGGCCACAACAAAGGGGGTGTGGTTTGATAGTCCCTGCCCCAGAGTGGGCGTGGCTCATTAGTCCCATCCCAAATCACAACAGAGGGGTGTGGTTTGATAGTCCCCGCCCCAGAGTGGGCGTGGCTCATTAGTCCTGTCCCAAATCCCAACAGAGGGGTGTGGTTTGATAGTCCCCGCCCCAGAGTGAGCGTGGCTCATTAGTCCTGTCCCAAAACACAACAGAGGGGTGTGGTTTGATAGTCCCCGCCCCAGAGTGGGCGTGGCTCATTAGTCCCATCCCAAATCACAACAGAGGGGTGTGGTTTGATAGTCCCCGTCCCAGAGTGGGCATGGCTCATTAGTCCCATCCCAAATCACAACAGAGGGGTGTGGCTTGATAGTCCCCACCCCAGAGTGGGCGTGGCTCATTAGTCCCATCCCAAATCCCAACAGAGGGGTGTGGCTTGTCAGACCCCGCCCCCCCGCCCCCCTCACCGTGCTGGGGAGCTGGAGGGGCCCCTCGGCGGGGCCGAAGCTCAGCAGCTCGTCGTAGCTGGACTCGAGGCTGATGATCTCATCGATGACGTCATCGATCTGCTCGGGGCGGCAAACCCGCGTCACGGCCGCCCCGCCCAGAGCCCCCCCCCCAGAGCCCCGGGATGGGGGGTCCACGGGGTGGGGACCGTGTCCCCAACCCACCCCTGTGGCGTGTCCCCACCCCCTGTACTGCGTCATCGGTCCCCAAAATGTCACCAACCCCTGTGGCGTGTCACCACCCTCAGGATTGCATCATCGCCCTCCCCATTGTGTCACCACCCCCAGGATTGTGTCACTGTCCCCCGGATCATGTCACCACCCCCAGGATTGCGTCATCACCCCCCATATGACATCACCACCCCCAGTATTGCGTCATCGGTCCCCAAAATGTCACCAACCCCTGTGGCGTGTCACCACCCCCAGTATTGCATCATCGCTCCCCCCAATGTGTCACCACCCCCAGGATTGTGTCACTGTCCCCCGAATCATGTCACCCCCCCCAGGATTGTGTCACTGTCCCTGGATCACGTCACCACCCCCAGGATTGTGACATTGTCCCCCGGATCGCGTCACCACCCCCAGGATTGTGTCACTGTCCCTGGATCACGTCACCACCCCCAGGATTGTGACATTGTCCCCCGGATCGCGTCACCACCCCCAGGATTGCGTCATTACCCCCCATATTGTGTCACCACCCCCAGTATTGCATCATCACCCCCAGTATTGCATCATCACCCCCAGTATGGCATCGTCACCCCCAGTATGGCATCGTCACCCCCAGTATGGCATCGTCACCCTCAGTATTGCATCATCACCCCCCATATCACGTCACCACCCCCACCTGGCATCAGGTAACTCCCCGTGACGCCACGGGATGACCCCTGACCCCTTGGTGCCACCCCACCGCTGCCACCACCCCCCCCCGGTGACACCGCAGGGGGTGACATCGGGGCCACCCCCACGCGACCCCACAGCCCCTCTTTCTTTTTACACCCCCCTCTCCCACCAGGGACCCCCCCCAAGAAGCCCTCACCTCCTTCTCGGAGCCGGGGCCGATGTGCAGCAGTGCCAGGGGGCTGGGGGGGGTGGGGGGCGCGGGGGGGGGTCCTGGGGGGCTGGGGGGTCCCCCCCGGCCCAGGGCGGAGCTCAGGTACTGCCGGACCTGCTGCCTCTGGGCCGCCCGCAGGTGGTACCGGGTCGGGTTCTCCAGGTGGGTCTGAACCTTCGGAGGGGAGGGGGACGGGGCTGAGGGGACCCCCCGACACCAAGAGCCCCCCACAGCGCACAGAGTGACACCCCCATATCCCCCCTGAGCCAAAACCCCCACCCCCCTAACCCCCTGCCCCCCCAGTCCGTTCCCCTCAATCCTCAGAGCTCCCCAACATCCCCCCGCCCAGGGGTCCCCCGTTTTCAGCCCCCAGAGCCCCCTGTATCTCCCTGTCCCCCCCCAAATTCCCAGAGTCCCCCCCCATGACCCTTGCCCTGGAGCCCCCCACCCTCCCGATCCAGAGTCCCCCATTTTCAGAGCCCCCCCCCCGACCTGCACCCCACAACATCCCCCCACCCAGGGGTCCCCCATTTTCTGCCCTCAGAGCCCCCTGTATCTCCCTGTCCCCCCCCCCAAATTCTGAGAGTCCCCCCCCCGTGACCCCTGTCCTGGAGCCCCCCACCCTCCCGATCCAGAGTCCCCCATTTCGCCCCCTCAGACCCCCCCTGTATCCCCCCTGACTGCCCCCCCAAAATCCATTCCCCTCAAACCTCAAGAGCCCCCCCCCCCCCCCGACCTGCACCCCACAACATCCCCCCGCCCAGGGGTCCCCCATTTTCTGCCCCCAGAGCCCCCTGTATCTCCCTGTCCCCCCCCCCCAAATTCCCAGAGTCCCCCCCATGCCCCCCTGCCCTGGAGCCCCCCACCCTCCTGCCCCAGGATCCCCCATTTCACCCCTGGAGCCCCCCCATGCCCCCCTGCCCCCCCAAATTCCCAGAGTCCCCCCCGTGCCCCCCTGCCCTGGAGCCCCCCGCCCTCCCGATCCAGAGTCCCCCATTTCACACCCCCTCAAAGCCCCCCCCCCCCCGTATCCCCCTGCCTGGGGAACCCCCCACCACCACCATCGGGGTCCCCAATTTCCCCAAGCCCCCCCTTCCCCCCCAAATCCTCACCTTGAGCACCTCGGGGGGCACGTGGGGGGGTGCCCGGGGTGGGGGGGCACCCACGGCGATGGCGGGGGAGGGTCCGGGGGGTCCGGGGGCTGCCGTGGGGGGGCCTCCCCCCCCCCTCCTCTCCCTCTGCTCCTGCTCCTGGGCCTGGGCCCTCATGAGCTGCTGCCGCAGCAGCACCCGCGACGAGGGGGGGGCGGCCGGGGGGGCCGACATGGCCCCGGGGGGGGCCGGGGCTGTGCTGTGGGGAGGGGAGAGGGGGTTAAAGAGGGGCTGGGGGCTTGGGTGGGGGCTTGGAGAAATTGGGGTGGGGGGGGGGTCCCCAGGCAGGGGGATAAGGGGGGGCCGACATGGCCCGGGGGGGGCCGGGCCTGTGCTGTGGGGAGGGGGGGGGGCGGTTAAAGGGCGGGGGGCTTGGGGGGGGGCTTTGGGGAAATTGAGGGGTGGTGGGGGGTCCCCAGGCAGGGGGATACGGGGGGGCTGACGTGGCCCTGGGGGGGCCGGGCCTGTGCTGTGGGGAGGGGAGGGGGGTTAAAGAGGGGCTGGGGGGGAGCTTGGAGAAATTGGGGTGGTGGGGGGGGTCTCCAGGCAGGGGGATACGGGGGGGCCGACATGGCCCCGGGGGGGGCCGGGCCCGCGCTGGGGGGGGTTAAAATTGGGGGGGGGCTGGGGGAGGGCTTGGGGAAATTGGGGACCCCAATGGTGTGTGTGTGGGGGGTCCCCAGGCAGGGGGATACGGGGTGGGGGGGGGGCGCTGAGGGGGTGAAATGGGGGACTCTGGATCGGGAGGGTGGGGGGGCTCCAGGGCAGGGGGGCACGGGGGGGGAATCGGGGAATTTGGGGGGGGGGGACAGGGAGATACAGGGGGCTCTGGGGGGGGGGGTGACACACTGGGGGGGTCACCAGTACCTGGGGGGGAGGGGCTGGCTCTTCAGGCAGTAGAAAGTGCCGGGGGGGTCGGCGGCGATGTCCCTGGGGGGGTCTCCAGGAGGAGGGTCCCTCCCCCCGGGGGGGTCACTGGGGGTGTCCCCGGGGGTCCCCACACCGGGGGGGTCCCACTCGATGTCGGCCACGATCCCCGACTCGGGCAGCACCGAGCTCAGGCTGACCCGGGGGGGGTGGGGGGGTCACTTCAGCAGCCCCATGTGGGCCCCCCCACCCCTGGGACCTCCCAAATCCCCCCACAGCCCCCCTAGACCCTCCCAGATCTCCCCACAGACCCTCCCAGATCTCCCCACAGACCCTCCCAGATCCCCCCACAGCCCCCCCGGGACCTCCCAGATCCCCCCACAGCACCCCCAGACCCTCCCAGATCCCGCCCACAGCCCCCCCAGACCCTCCCAGATCCCCCCCACAG